GGGGGCCGGAGGGGGGCGGAGGGGAGCCGGGACCTGCCGAGCGGGGCCGAAAGGAGCCGAAGGGCGCCGCTCCCCGAGCGTTAGGGCGCATGCGCACTCCGCCCGCAGGGCCTCGCCGCAGCCGCCGGGGGGCGCCCCCCCCCCCCGGGCTGAGCGCTGCCTGAGATGGGACCCCCCGGTTATGGGGGTGCCATAGCCCCACACGGGGGTCACCCCCTCCAGTTATGGGGGTCTCAGGGCTTATAGCCCCCACCGTGGGGGGCCCAGGGCTCATCACCCCTCTCCAGCTATGGGGTTCCAGGGGTTATGGCCCCCCCCCATGGGGGTCCCAGGGTTCACCCACACACACACAGTTTTGGGGGTCCCAGGGGTTATAGCCCACTCCCATGGGGGTCCCAGGGCTCACACCCCCTCCTTATGGAGTCCCAGGGCTTATAGCCCCCCCTCCATGGGGGTCCCAGGGCTCACCCCCCCCCGTATATGGGGGTCCCAGGGCGTATAGCCCCTCCATGGGGGTCCCAGGGCTCATCCTCCCCCCAGGGCTCATCCTCCCCCCAGTTATGGGGTCCCAGCCCCCTCCCCCCCCGTTATGGGGGTCCCAAGATTCACCCCCTCCCCAGTTATGGGGTCCCCAGGGCTGACCCCTCCCAGTTATGGGGTTCCAGGGGTTATAGCCCCCCACCATGGGGGTCCCAGGGCTCATCACCCCCATATACGGGGGTCCCAGGGTTCACCCCTCCCAGTTATGGGGTCCCAGGGCTTATAGCCCCCCCGCCATGGGGGTCCCAGGGCTCACCCCCCCCCGTATATGGGGGTCCCAGGGCGTATAGCCCCTCCATGGGGGTCCCAGGGCTCATCCTCCCCCCAGGGCTCATCCTCCCCCCAGTTATGGGGTCCCAGCCCCCTCCCCCCCCGTTATGGGGGTCCCAAGATTCACCCCCTCCCCAGTTATGGGGTCCCCAGGGCTGACCCCTCCCAGTTATGGGGTTCCAGGGGTTATAGCCCCCCACCATGGGGGTCCCAGGGCTCATCACCCCCATATACGGGGGTCCCAGGGTTCACCCCTCCCAGTTATGGGGTCCCAGGGCTTATAGCCCCCCCGCCATGGGGGTCCCAGGGCTCACCCCCCCCCGTATATGGGGGTCCCAGGGCGTATAGCCCCTCCATGGGGGTCCCAGGGCTCATCCTCCCCCCAGGGCTCATCCTCCCCCCAGTTATGGGGTCCCAGCCCCCTCCCCCCCCGTTATGGGGGTCCCAAGATTCACCCCCTCCCCAGTTATGGGGTCCCCAGGGCTGACCCCTCCCAGTTATGGGGTTCCAGGGGTTATAGCCCCCCACCATGGGGGTCCCAGGGCTCATCACCCCCATATACGGGGGTCCCAGGGTTCACCCCTCCCAGTTATGGGGTCCCAGGGCTTATAGCCCCCCCGCCATGGGGGTCCCAGGGCTCACCCCCCCCCGTATATGGGGGTCCCAGGGCGTATAGCCCCTCCATGGGGGTCCCAGGGCTCATCCTCCCCCCAGGGCTCATCCTCCCCCCAGTTATGGGGTCCCAGCCCCCTCCCCCCCCGTTATGGGGGTCCCAAGATTCACCCCCTCCCCAGTTATGGGGTCCCCAGGGCTGACCCCTCCCAGTTATGGGGTTCCAGGGGTTATAGCCCCCCACCATGGGGGTCCCAGGGCTCATCACCCCCATATACGGGGGTCCCAGGGTTCACCCCTCCCAGTTATGGGGTCCCAGGGCTTATAGCCCCCCCGCCATGGGGGTCCCAGGGCTCACCCCCCCCCGTATATGGGGGTCCCAGGGCGTATAGCCCCTCCATGGGGGTCCCAGGGCTCATCCTCCCCCCAGGGCTCATCCTCCCCCCAGTTATGGGGTCCCAGCCCCCTCCCCCCCCGTTATGGGGGTCCCAAGATTCACCCCCTCCCCAGTTATGGGGTCCCCAGGGCTGACCCCTCCCAGTTATGGGGTTCCAGGGGTTATAGCCCCCCACCATGGGGGTCCCAGGGCTCATCACCCCCATATACGGGGGTCCCAGGGTTCACCCCTCCCAGTTATGGGGTCCCAGGGCTTATAGCCCCCCCGCCATGGGGGTCCCAGGGCTCACCCCCCCCCGTATATGGGGGTCCCAGGGCGTATAGCCCCTCCATGGGGGTCCCAGGGCTCATCCTCCCCCCAGGGCTCATCCTCCCCCCAGTTATGGGGTCCCAGCCCCCTCCCCCCCCGTTATGGGGGTCCCAAGATTCACCCCCTCCCCAGTTATGGGGTCCCCAGGGCTGACCCCTCCCAGTTATGGGGTTCCAGGGGTTATAGCCCCCCACCATGGGGGTCCCAGGGCTCATCACCCCCATATACGGGGGTCCCAGGGTTCACCCCTCCCAGTTATGGGGTCCCAGGGCTTATAGCCCCCCCGCCATGGGGGTCCCAGGGCTCACCCCCCCCCGTATATGGGGGTCCCAGGGCGTATAGCCCCTCCATGGGGGTCCCAGGGCTCATCCTCCCCCCAGGGCTCATCCTCCCCCCAGTTATGGGGTCCCAGCCCCCTCCCCCCCCGTTATGGGGGTCCCAAGATTCACCCCCTCCCCAGTTATGGGGTCCCCAGGGCTGACCCCTCCCAGTTATGGGGTTCCAGGGGTTATAGCCCCCCACCATGGGGGTCCCAGGGCTCATCACCCCCATATACGGGGGTCCCAGGGTTCACCCCTCCCAGTTATGGGGTCCCAGGGCTTATAGCCCCCCCGCCATGGGGGTCCCAGGGCTCACCCCCCCCCGTATATGGGGGTCCCAGGGCGTATAGCCCCTCCATGGGGGTCCCAGGGCTCATCCTCCCCCCAGGGCTCATCCTCCCCCCAGTTATGGGGTCCCAGCCCCCTCCCCCCCCGTTATGGGGGTCCCAAGATTCACCCCCTCCCCAGTTATGGGGTCCCCAGGGCTGACCCCTCCCAGTTATGGGGTTCCAGGGGTTATAGCCCCCCACCATGGGGGTCCCAGGGCTCATCACCCCCATATACGGGGGTCCCAGGGTTCACCCCTCCCAGTTATGGGGTCCCAGGGCTTATAGCCCCCCCGCCATGGGGGTCCCAGGGCTCACCCCCCCCCGTATATGGGGGTCCCAGGGCGTATAGCCCCTCCATGGGGGTCCCAGGGCTCATCCTCCCCCCAGGGCTCATCCTCCCCCCAGTTATGGGGTCCCAGCCCCCTCCCCCCCCGTTATGGGGGTCCCAAGATTCACCCCCTCCCCAGTTATGGGGTCCCCAGGGCTGACCCCTCCCAGTTATGGGGTTCCAGGGGTTATAGCCCCCCACCATGGGGGTCCCAGGGCTCATCACCCCCATATACGGGGGTCCCAGGGTTCACCCCTCCCAGTTATGGGGTCCACAGAGCCTTGGCCAGGTTGGAACCCAAACGGCACGTCAGCACCAGGTCGGTGCCCGCCACCACCGTCACGTTTTTGGGGGTGATGGGTCCTGCGGGAGAGGGGATGAGTTAGGAGGGGAGGCACGAGGTGGGGGGATCCCGTGTCCGCCTCTTCTCCCGGCTCCGTGTGGCACTTTGGGGGGGTCTCACCTTGCTTGGCCACTTGCGGCAGGGTGCAGGAGCGGG